AAGCAGAAAAAAGTAAAGAATACAACAAAAGTAACTCTATAACCTGCAGGTGGTTCAGCCAGGGTGGAAATCCTACCAGCAAGCTTATTGCGAAATGCGCCGCCGCAGTTTACCCTTTTTTCCGAGTCCGCTGCAACAGCTCTTTTAGCCATTCCGACAGCGTCACCATTCCCATGTTCCATTTCCGTTCCCATTCCAAGAATGCCTAATCACGGCCTCAGCTACCATCTATGCAATCGACATCTCCCGCAAAAGTAAATACGACCTCGCGAATGGTAAGTCGGCTGGTCCGCAAGTTTTAGGTCTTGGGTCCGGAGCGGCAGTAAGTGCTTGCATTTATGACAGGGAAATTTATTGGCTTCCCTTGCGCCTTACTGTGGTCTCCAATGCGCGTGGTCGGTTTACGCCCTGTTCGTCTGCCTCCTTGCATCTCGGCTGATCTCTTTCTCCTTAGGCTTAGATTATTAAAATGTAATCCACTGATTTCCGGTTGTCCTGAATGTGCGACCATTTTTGATGCGTTTCCGTACCGCTGTCGTGCCCAGATCAATGACTTTGCCTTTCTCGGCACTGACGCGACTAGCTCCGTGCCGCCTTCCTTTGTTCCTGGGCGGAGCTTGCGAGGCGTGGTGAGGTGTCGCCATCCGATTATGTTGTACTTTTGCGCTTCCCGTGAGACTGGCCCGGCTCTCCGCAGGTCCCTCTTCGCACTGGCGGCCTCGGCTTTCCCGGGGGTCCGCTTTCCCGGGCTGGGTTGTCAGCTCCATCTCTCGAGTCTCCTCCTTTGGCGCCTTCTGTGGGTTGTCTGCTTGCCGCCACCTGTTCCATGTGCGGTGTTGGCTGACTCTCGTGCCTCGGTGCTTCCCGTAGGATTTCTTCCCTGGCCCTGGGGTTGTCGCCGGCGCCGCCGCCGCCTCTGCCGGGCCCCCCGTTGGCCGGTCTTTTCCGCTGGGCGTTCCTGCCCAGGTTGGTAGGGAATGTCCGTTGGCTGTTGGCCCGCTCTAGCGCTCTCCTAAGCGATTCTTTCGTCCAAGTGTGAAAGGTGTCAATGTCTGTAAGGAAAATATGGATCGTACGCTTTTCCTGTTTAATTGCGGGCTCCATTACAAATTGGCGGCCTTCTGAGGCTGTCGGTGTGGGGCGTGCACAAGTCAACGCGGCGTTTGCAGGAAGGAGCTGCTCATGTCAAAGGCCTGTGGTCAGAAGGCACAAACCAGCTCCTAAAAGTTGCCCGCCAAAGAATTAGTGCTAGGATTGAAAGTTAATGGCAGGTCTGAGGTCCAACTAACTTTGTGACGCGCTAGTGTGGACTTAGTGTACGGGGTGTTACACTGTGGGCGGCTCGCCCTGAGAAAAGGACGAGCACCGGGGGCCCTGACCGGGCCGAAACACAGCGCAGGGGCGGGGGCGCGGCTCTACATCCGTCTGTTCCTCAGCGCGCGCCTCATTCCCTCACGCCAACCGGGACGATCTCCCAGCCCCTGGCTAGGCAACGCAGAGGTGCAGAAGACTGCAAACCGAATTAAGTGAGAGCCGCACGAGAGGCGCCACATCACCTCTGGGAAACTGAGACAAGCTATCTGCCCACACTACGCCTGGCCAGCCTAATCGCGCGCTCTCGTCCCTCTTGACCGCCAAAACAACAACAAAGAGAAAACACCACCGGGGGCAGGGGCTCTACTCAGGGGGCTCCACTACACACTCAAAAACCGAGACGCGGTTGCACTGAGAAGACAAGCGCAACGCGGGCACTCGCACACTGGATCTTTAAGGCCAGCTGTTCACCTACCACTAGCAACGGACACCTACCGAGGACGTCCACCACTACCTCACCGGTCCACTCACAACCGAGGCAAGAAACACTGGTCCGTACGGCAGTCCCCTCCAGTGTACGGGGTGTTTCCACTAGGCCTTACGGTTCTCTGCCAGGAGTGCGCCAACCTCCAATTTTGTTTGATGAATATTTGTTTCTATCATTACCAATGCATGTATGTTGTTACAGGGTGGTATAGCTTCACCAGCGGCCCCCTTTCCCGAGGCAGTTCCCTGCTCTCCCCTGCGGGAGGGGCACCCTAATCCGTTCACCCCATCCGACTTCAGAATGTATTCTTTGGGTTCAGCAACTCACCACCAGCATCCAACCAAATCTAGCGGACAAAGGCGCCTCAACTTAGTTCCTGGTCAGCTCGCAAGTTGATATTATCACGTCCTACATCGTCCATAAGATGGGGGGCCACCTCCCATTTCAACACTCCTCAAACACCCGAGGAGTCGGCAGGCGGATTTTAACCCGAACACTCCGGGAGCAGAAGTCAGGCCTTAACCTCTGCCAGCCGCCTGCCTCGCCAATGTATGCATTTAGAACGGTGACAGACGAGTCCAGGACGAAGAACATTCGAACATATCGGCCAAGTGGAAACACCCTGTTAGTCTAAACCTTCGCAAGCGGAAGTGGCCCCGGAAACGGATCCATTAACGAACTATTGCGGGGGCAAGGGGTTGGAGCATAGGATAAGCTGTTAGTACGTTTCTGGAACTCAGGAATATCTGCTTTGAAAGTGCGCATGCTCAAGCCTGCTTGAACCGCCTGCTCGTCACTTCGGACACTTGAAATCAACAGTATTCCACATTTCCATTAGGCTTAGTTAGGCTTGTGCACGCTGCTCGTGGGTTGGCGGACGGACCGGTTGGCAGCTTGGCACCGTTCGATTTAAGCGACCAAAATCAGCACTACCTAAAAAATGATAGAAAAATGGTTGAAGGTGCGCTTTGAGGCATTCCACTCAGGGCGGTCCACGGCTTGGTTCTTAGGGTGATAGTCGTGGCCTTGTCGCGTGCAGTCTTTTGGGGATTATTCGATATCATTCGGGTTCCCAAAGGTTTCATAATGTTATTTTACTGTAACAAACATTATGAATGAATAACTAACTTATGTGTCCTGCTTATCGGGTTGTACTTCATAGCTGCAAAAGCCCCTGGTATTTGTGGCATTGAGGGTCTCTGCTTCGCTGCAAGTGTGGACGGTGAATATCGGTGAACCATTGGCTCACCTCTCAACAGCAAAAACGTGCATTTCATCTTCGACCGCCCCACAGTCGCATCTGTAGATGCTTGAATCAAGGTGTTTAAACGCGGTATCCTGCTTAATCCATATGGCACGGTACTGCTGAAGTGGCCAGGGTGTGCAGCTTCGTCAGCCTGCTTTCTATGTTTCCAGTTTTACTTCATTTGATCATATAACCGCTGTAAAATTGCGTTGGGTGTTTTTTATGCACATGCATTGCCATCGCCTCGCGCCTGTATAGCACTGCGTGTTTCCGTGTCACGGCACCCTTGTACTAGGATTGGGCCCCCCAGCCAAAATTAAGGTTACCGAATCAGTCACACGATTACAGCTCCACGATAAGGATTATGACACAGCCAACAGGATTAGGATTGGGACCAGTGTTTTTTTTAAAGTAATATATTCCTTATAAGGAATAAAGAGGCCATTTTGGCCTTTGGAAAAACGGAATGAATTGAGGCCGATCCGTACATTTTCATTCCTCCAGCCAAAAACGTCCATTCCTGCCAGATTGCTCCGTAGTGTGCGGAACTTAGTATTTCGATCCTAGAATAGATATGAGGGGCCGTAAGAAGGTCAAGCCCGTGAGTCAACGCGGCATAGCAGAATGTATGACCGGTCCTCACATAGTCAAACACGCAAAAGGCAACGACTCGAACGTCGAACAAACATCAAAACAGCAAGATAAGCCTGAAAATTTCCTGATAAAGGCGTTTGGGACGGCGGTGCTGTTGTCGGTAATGCATCGGCAATGGTGTTGCTGCCAGCGGCGACCGATGACACGGGCGCCATTACCCCTGCCTCCCATGGCGGGTGTGATCAGCCTAAGCGCAAGCTGTCACCCAATCAGCTCGACAACAACGACAGTGAATGCGGCGAGGCCGGTGATATATTGTGTGTGCGGATGTTTACCCAGGACCTGTTCGACCTGGGCACGTTCCCGTTCCGTGACGCATTGAGGAAGTGGCTGGACAGCAGCAACAGGGGCCGGTACATGATGAACCGGTAGAGTCCAAGCGTACTGTGGTTTGCAGTGGCGGGTGACGGCCTGTGATTTGCTATGCGGTTGCTTGCTTTGGGCCTTTGCTTGGTCGGATTTACTTATTGCTCACAAACAGTGCCAGAACTATCTATGCATGTGCATGAAGAGTGCGCACATGAACGAAAACGCGCCAACTCAGTGCGTTCCTCTTGGTCTATGAGGGGAGTTGTAACTTATCGGGGGGGAGGGTCTGGGGTGGGGCGTAGGCCCCCCCAGCGCCCCACACTCACGGAATAAATTACGGCGACCCTAGCAACTTTGTTACTTAGGTCGGAATAAATTGAGACCCGCCCTAAATGGGAAAAAATCACTGATTGGGACCCCAGCCTCAGGATTAGGATTGCGGTCCGGCAACAGGATTAGGATTGGGACCCCCCGCCAGGACTAGGATTGGGACCCGCCCTCAGGATTAGGATTACAACCCCGCCCCTAGGATATGGAATAGACCACCACTCTGGATTAGGTATTAGAAGTGGTCCACCCCTGTTGAGATTAGAGGATTGCTGACCGGTACCACCCCCTGGATTAGAGGATTTACTTTATGGACTAGTAATAGCTTAATACTGAAAATGACCCAAATGACCCCAAACACAGTTGTGTTGGATGTTGTTAAGAAAGCCTGTGTGATGTGGATGTGGGAACAGAAATGACACAGAAACACAGACCAGAGGTTTGCAAAGGGGTCCTAATCCTCTAATCCAGCGGGTGGATACCAGTCATTGGCTGGCTGGTCAATCTACTGGTTGCAGTCTAGACAGCTGCTGCTCAAACGGACTTGCTAGATCAGCATCCCTCAAGTGCCCAAAGCTTAGTTCGACGCTCCCGAACCAAGTAGCAGCCATCGTAGGTGTGCAGCCATTATTATTGGCAAGTGGGCACCGTGTGCGTGGCGGGGACTTGCCCTACCACGTCAGGGAGCAGCAGCGGGATGAAGATGCGGGAGAATGGGATGGTTGGGACCGGAAGGTTGAAAGCTAGAAGGGGACAATAAACAGAGCGAGTTCGGAAACTTGATTTGCAACATTCAGTTGCGGTGAAAAGCGGTCCTCTTACGCCCCAGTGCATTGAGATCGGAAGGAGAACCGTTAATCAGCAGAAATCAGCCTATAAAGTCTGCTTATAAAACCGGCCTATACTGCTGTAGAGCAGATCCCCCCTTGTTCTTAACTGCGATAAAAAAACGACTACAGTTAGTAGGAACGGTATTAATGAGCTTATTAACAAAGTTCCCCCAAATCTGCCCAAGAAAATGCTCCAAATGGAATTTGTGCAAATACCTTCACATTTGTGGCTTAAGAATGCCATTGCAACTGCACTTTTGGCACTCTGTCCCAATATAGTTACTGTGTATTGTACATAATACGATACAAGGTGGTATTGCCAAAGCATAATTCAATTCCTGTATATACTTCCGGATCGATATGCCAGATCCCCAGCGACAAGAAAAATGAAGGCTAATGGACTGACATTTCATTTAGTTGATGGTGACTGTTTTTTAAGATGCCTTGTCGAATGGATGACACGGGTTCTAGGATGGCAAAACCAACCTTCTCGGCTGAGACTGTCACGTAAAAGTGGTAATGGTGGTGAAGGATGCCCTGCATACTACTCACATCTCCATGCTAAGTCACATATCGACCGCCAACGCAACAATGCACATGATACGGTATCATCCATGACGACGACGCAAACAAGCATATCAACAGTCACAGTGCATAACCCCGTACTCCCCCTACCCTACTGCAGTGTAATTCGATAGGCCACGGCATGCTGGAGAACTTGCACACTTCCATGTCATATGGTCTTACAAAACATCCCCATATGGATCTTGTAAGTGTAGCCAATAGAACACTACGACATACAGCATCTACCGTGCTTGATTCTGTCCAGAGACCCCCAAGTGGTCGCTCTGCTCTACAATACCCCCCAACAGTCGAGCCTTGTCAGTAACTTCCGCCACATCAAACCGTAGCTCAGTGTCAGGAGCTGCACCGGCTCCTGCCCCATAAGCGTTAAGCTCCTCTTCAATTACCGTCGAAGCAATCAAGGATGGAGCGTGTGGCTCCAACTTCTCCAACTGAGCCAGCTGATCAGCGTATTTGCTCTGCAGCGCCTGACCCTTCTCATATTTACTCGCCCAGCCATTGGCTAAGAATGCATCAACAAAAACTTGCATGACATAGAACACGATGCAAGGGATCGCCACAAGGCCAAGGTCGCCAAGGCCCTGCGAACCTGTCGCGACATCATCCCCTTCAACATGCTGGAAGCTATCTCCAGGCCCAGACGGTAAATAGCTGATGATGACGGCAGCCGTAGGCAGCGATTTCTGGGAACACATAATGATAAACGCTTTTCGTTCACCATCCTGCATGCGCATGCCCACGATTGGCACAACCCATGCAATCAGGATGGCCAGCAACAGGAAGAAGAAGTGCTGACCGATTGCCCCCATGATCGCAAAGACGACATCGTACAGTTTCTGCTTGAGTAGCTCATGCTGAGAATGGCTAAGGGTCTGCCACACAATCATGACGATTTGAAACTGATTCACCAGGTATAACGGAACCTTGTACTTCTTTGCAAATCTCAAAGCAGGCGCCCACAGCTCTCGGACACTCTTCCCCACTAAGAGAGGAATAATGATTGATACCCCGAGCTTGATCACCAGATCAACTGCATCAACCTTGATGTCTTTAATCGCCGATGAAAGAATGAGCTTTACCACTAGCGGAGATATGAAAATTCCCAAAATGTTCGTGCAAACGGTCATTAATAGCGCAAGCGCTGCGTTGCCATAGCCTTGGATAACCAGTGCGACGCCTGAAGACAGTGATGTCGGCACACATGCAAAAATTGCTAGACCATAACCAAACTCCATCGGCTTGAAGTCCATGTTAATGAAGATGAATCCCGTTAAGCCAGTAAGGAAGAGAATCGTCACGATCGCCAGCAAGAGCACCTTGTATCCCTTCATAGCTTCCTTGAGCTCTGTCGTCTCCAGCGTAATGCCAAATATAAAGAAAATGAGAGCCATGTTCACCGTGGTCACGAGCTTCCATCCGTTCACCTTTGAAAAGCGAGCAATAGGTGCGTGACCAACATAAGTCCTCTTTTCAAGAATTAACACACAATCATACCTTATACTGGTAGAGGACATTCCCCGGTATTGGAAACAATAAGGCGAACACAACCGCAACACAAAACCCTGTTAAATGGGGTAACAGCAATTAAACCGGGCGAGGGCATGCAGGTCACGGTCAAGAAATCCAAGTCAACTCACCCAATGGCAGGAACTGCTTCACTACGAAACGCTTCACAGGATTTCTGCAGTAGTCGTTGATTTATGTAAGCTTTCAGGCCAATACACCGCGATAAGCTGAGAGCGGTTTCCTCTCACCCTTGGACTTCAACCATGACCTTGGCTCCTTAACAACAGGAGGCGGGTAGAATGTGTCACTAGTTCAGTCCACAGTGCCCAGCTTCAAGATCCGAAACACAAGGCGTAACCTTACCACGTAAGAAATTGTCCACATGTATACAATTACTCTTGCTTGAAGCCTGAAGCTGTGTGATGATGAGACGCGAAATCACCGTACTACCGTACAAGTCAGAAGCTTTTTTATTGTTACGCATTCCCACTAATGCATACGTACAATGAGCTTTAGACCAACACTGCTATGGGTAATGTATGAAAAATGCGGTTGCAGAATCGGACGGGAATTTGATTCTCGTACCCGGTGGCGCACTTATGTTTTGATGGCGATTGCACTGGTACGGTCGCACTGCACACATGCCTGTCAGCAATGTCCAGCTGCGACCTCTGACCCGATATCCCTGCTTTACTCTATGTATCCCGGCCTCTACTTCCAGGCCTCTACTCCCGGCCTCTACTTTCGGACAATAATACTTGTGTAGTGTCCACTTTATCATAAGTACGCTGACTTTCATTTCGTTCCCTCCTACAGATCCATAACGGTCATGCTAATATGTGTCGGTTGGCTTCATGAAGAAGCAACGACCTTGGGGAGGGGAACGCGCTTGTTTCTCAGTGATTTTCAAATTCGCTATCCTTCCATCCGTGTGGCATGCCTGCAAGCAATCGCCCGCCAAGATCTTCTGGGCCCTGTGTAAACACGCCAAAAACGCAACCCTTTGCTCCTCTTTCCCCCCGCTCCCCACTATACCAGGTGCACAGGCCTTATACACAACCCATGCCCGCTTGGATGAGTGGCGAAGTCTGAACCCTTCGATGCTTGTTGTTGCTGCATTATTAATGTCGGTCACATTTCCTGTGCCCAAAAACTTGGCGATGGTTTAGCTTTGTCCGTGTTTAACAGAAGGTACCATATGGTCGTGCAAATAAGCAATTGTATCATTGCGCACGCACCAAGCTCTTCACTGATGTATTGTTATCATAATATGCCGGGCTAAAACAATCCGATGTACAATTGGGAAAGCTCTGCACCCAAGCCACAAATTGGCCCCCTTTTGGCCCGTGCTCACCGTCATCTGTAGCCCAGCTTGCCTGCAGCTGGTGTTGACCATACTCTTCCATGATTATGCTATGTGTGCCATCATGTTGTAAGCTTTCTTTGCCTTCCATGCTTCGTCCATAAGAGTCCCTGCCGCTCTGTGCGACTCCTGTGTCTTTAGGTAGCATAGTTCTCGTTTGCTTACCTTTGCTAAACCCCAGAATCGAGGCGCCCAACTCAACGACGCAGCAACATAATAGGCATCAGGACGCCAACATGCATCGCCAAACCACACCCTCCACGCAGCAAAGGCGAAGCAAACGTACCCAGTACCGTACACTGGTAACGCCTACCACCTATACGCCAGCAAGGGACTCCCCACTCGCCCGCGACACCACGATGAGGCAGACAGCCTGCAACCTGGACGATCCATCACATACACAAGCGGAGAACAATCTGATTCGAGTGAATACCGGCAACAAAAACAGACAAGTCGGGTGTCGGCTTCCTCGAAGCCAGAAAAAAGGCGGGGGCCCCCTGCCTCCGTACAGGCTGGTAGCTAGGGTAGTGTCAACGTGGTGGGAGCTGTGCTTGTTGCAGCAGTGCTGATGCTGTGGGGCTATGCTTGTCAGAGCGCGGGAGGCAGGAAGCCGGGGCTGATAACCTGTTGAAGAGACGGTGTCCCTCTGGAACCTAACAGACACGGCTAAGAGTCATTGGCCGTTACACGCAGTCGCAGTCTGGAGGTCCGCGACCTACCACCGACAGCCTCTTGATTGGGTGTAAACGTATGAGTCTGAGGTGCCGTTACCGGCACACAGCAGGGGCTCGGTCGCCAAGTCCGCGGTCCAGGCCGGATGCTCAACGCTCAGCAGACACAATCGCAGCCTGCCAGCCTTCAGCCTGTTGGCTTTGCGGTCTAGTGCCGCAGCCATAACACACACGGAAAACAGCGCCGTACAGCAGAGGGGTGCAAAGTGGTCCTAATCCTCTAATCCAGGGGTTGGGTACCGGTCAGCAATCCTCTAATCTCAACAGGGGTGGACCACTTCTAATCCCTAATCCAGAGTGGTGGTCTAATCCATATCCTAGGGTCGGGGTTCTAATCCTAATCCTGTGGCCGGGTCCCAATCCCAATCCGAGGGGGGGGGTCCCAATCCTAATCCTGGGGCCGGACGGCAATCCTAACCCTGAGGCTGGGGTCCCAATCCTAATCCTGTTGGTCGTGTCGTAATCCTTAACGTGGAGCTGTATTGCAATCGTACTCCTGTGACTGGTTCGGTAACCTTAATTTTGGCTGGGGGACCCAATCCTTATCTAAGGATGCCGTGACACGGAAACACACACTGCCATACAGGCACGAGACAATGTCAATGCAAGTGCGCATAAAAGGTCCAATTTTACAGCTGCGGGTGCATGATGACATGAAGTAAAACTAAAAACATGAGGTGCAGGCTGACAAAGCTGCACACCCTGACTATTTCTGCAGTACCGTGCCGTATGACACGGCAGGAAGAGTTTAAGCAGGTTACCGCATTTAAACACCTTAATTCAAGCATGTACAGATGCAACGGGGCGGTCCAAGATGAAATGCACGTTTTTATGGAATGCCTGGCTTACACAAGAACAGCGGCTAAATATGAACGTGATCTCGTGTTTCAAGGGTGCGACATGCACACGATTATGACCGAGGCACCACTCCTGGCACTAACCAGGTTCCCCTCGAAAATGTGGGAAACCCGGCACGTTGCTCTGAGATGGATGGTCCACCATGTAACCGCACTAATGATTATTTACCGTCCATGGCCGATCCAGCTTTCATGGACACCGCCACACCGCCACACTCGTGCGGAACTTGTAACCTGATAAAACCAAGGGTGCATCCGCACTATCCACACTGGTCCACACACCCAGAAGATATGCACGTAATAAGGGAGTGTGTTTAAAGCCACGCAGTTCACTGAAGCCCAGATATGTACAATTCAGCCACATGCAGAGGGGTGCAGTACAGGTTCCAGAGGATTACGGCACGTTTAAGCGGACCCTTCCTTGCACGTTTAGATGAATACACGCACGCACATCACACTGGATCACATACTTAACAAAGGTCTTAACCATACACGTGAACCATCACAACGAAGTATGCGAGCGGTATGATAGACAACGAAACGATTGCTATTAACATCGCCCAGTCACGTACTGACAGTCAAAATTCCACACGCACCCGTCACTACCCACCAAAACCCCTTTCCCGATTTACAACTTGACGAAACCGAAACCGATCCGGCTTTAATCCCTCCTAGCGCCCTCTTTGTGAGTTGCACAACCGATCCGGCCTTAATCCTCTCCTAGCGCCCTCTTTGTGAGTTGCACTTTCCTGCCTGACTTGGTTTGCTGCCCTAGTGCAGCAGCCACATCACGGCGGGCCTCAGGGTTGACCCGCATCTCAAGCTTGCGCTGGCGGGGCTGTGCTGGTTTAGGTGCCGAGAACGCCATGTCGGTCCCCTTGGCCTGCACCGTGCCCGCCACGATCGCTGTAGCCGCTGCTGCCCCTCCTCGTCCCCGACTGACGCCCTTCTCGTCCAAAACCAATGTGTGCGCCGCACAGTACCCCCGCAGTGCCTGTGCGAAACAGGGACCAGTAATAGAGTTCTCAGCATCCTCTAGGATGACAGTTTACTGTCATGCATGCATGCATCTGGAGTAGTCTCTGGCCTCATATGGCAGTTAAGCACATACCTTTTCATCATCCTCGTGCATGATGTAGTGTCCACCCGCAGGGTCGTCTCGTCCAGGCATCATGTTCACCAACTGCACGATGCTTCTGGCCTCCCACAACGCGTTAGCACAACACGCCAAGGCGTGGGGCATAAGGTATTGCAGCCGCCCATTTTCGTCTGCATTGTGGACCAGCAAAAAGTACGCAAGCAAATCACTGAACCGAATAGTACAGTTTTCAGAAAAGGTGAGACTTTTGCTGTGGCAGTAGCAATGCTGCATGTGGAAAGCAGCAGATCACAAGGCACCAGTACCGGTGACAACATGCGTGTGAGCTGAGGTGTATGCATGCGGAAATTGAAAACCTGATAAATGCCCCAGATTTAAATAGGTCATCATGACCTGGCCTTCACGCCTGCAGATACACACACACACACACACACACGCCCCTAGGCTTCACAAGTACCTTTGCCTGCGGGTGAAAGCAGCCGCAGGCGCAAGCGGCCACTGATGTCGTTGATGTCCAACTGGCGGATACGCCGGAGCGCCTGCTTGGCCTTGGTATGCCTTTGTTGTGGTGCCAGTAGCCGCTCTACAAATCCCACCCGCACCACGGCCCTGCCCTGCTCGGCCTCCACAACTGCAACGCAGTCACCATCTGATAGGTGGTCCTGGTCGGCGCTAGTGAGCATGCTCAGCGCCTCTCTGAACTCCTCGGATGTGGACCAGAAACGACCATTGACAGGGTCCCGTGGCTGCCGGGAAATGAATGCATTGACCAGTCGGCAAAACTCCAAAAGGGCGGCCAGGAGACGGGTCATCTTGCCACGGCCAACACTGCGCTTCTTGCCCTTGGTCAAGGTGCCACCTGGCTCATCGTGCTCCTCAGCGTCTTCACCACCATCATCATGCGGTATGGCAGCAATCATGCCCCGTCCGATGGCCAGGTCATCATCCGTTGCACTGTCGGCGGCACCTTCACAAGCATACATTGTGATGCGGTGTGAATAATACGGCCATCCTTCAGGCACGGGGTATGTAAACTGACTGCACATGCAGCAGCATGTGGCAAGTGGGCGACAGTAATATGACCGGCAAGGACCCGCTATGTATGTACACACTTAGTGACCTTTCCATTTGGAATAGTGATGGTGTAATATGCTGCAATGCGAAATCGTACACCATGTCTTGCTGACCTTATCACATATAGCTGAATGTTATCTCCTCCAGTATGCAGTTTCGTGCAGACCTGAGCCCTCTGTGCATCAATAAACAAGCCCCATCCCCCATGTGGGAGACAGTGATGCTAAATGCCTGCCCTGTCATACAGCAGCCAGAATGTTTTTAAGCAATTACTGCACACCTGTGTCTTGAACCTCGGCCCGCTCGTCGGTCCACTCATCCACCTCCTCGCTGCCGTACTCAATGCCACCGACCTCTAACTCGCTCTCAGGCAGGGTGGATAAGCCAGTCGGCCCCGCAGCCAAGGAGACTGTGGACAGTAGCCGCATCCGATGGGCGCCATACGGCACGCTGCGGACAGGGATGGTAACATAGTGCCATATGCTGCCAGGGCGCGGAATGCCACAGGTGATGGGCCCAATGTCCATCGTCAAGAGCTGCTGCACCTATGGCGTTTAAAATGATAGACATGTGGGAGTTGAGCCTTACTTTGAACATGATGAAACCACCAGGATAGATGCAAAATGAATGTGTGATTTTGATGAATTCAAGTATTGCCGTCAGATTTTCCAAGGATAGGAGCCCGACCAGCCACCCATACACTCCTCGGGTTGTTGCATGCTCGCTAAAGAATGCCAAACATTGGACCCCGAACCCCATTTCCTCCCCTGATACCTATTTCCCCTATCGTTCTCCACAGCAAAGGTCCTGCGTCGAAATACCAACATTTCCAAAAACCAGGGCAAATTAGGTTTAATTGTTACCCACCTTGGCGAGGCCCTTGTCGATTGCCAATTGGATGCCTTTATCGTCAGGGTAGTAGTCCATGATGGCCCCGATCGCCTCAGCTCCCTCGGCCTGCCGGTAAGGGACCACTGGTCACATCTCAATTCTGATCCTTGTTAGGCCCATCTGTCCCCCAGAAACTTCCATCCTTACCTCGGGGAAGAATGTCTTGGCCTTTCCACGTGGCACTCCACGCTTGGAGGGTGGAACCGACCAGTCGGTGTCAATCTCGTTCTGTAGTTGGGAAATGAAGATCCGAATCAGCTCCTCCGCGCGTTTGAAGCCAAAAACACATGACGTCTTGTCGGCACAACGCAGTGCTTGGAAACAGTATTCGGCAAAGCGGCTTGACAATCGTCCAAAGTCGCACTTGATTAGTACCTGGCAGGCCGGGGTGTATGTACTTCATCGAGGACTAGCGCAGTCTGGAGGGCAAGGCAACATCCTATGCACAGAACCCACAATCATTCCCACATGTTAGGACAACACCCCGTGCTCTGGCCTGAGATAATTCACCCTGCTAACGGTGTCACAGACATGTGATTCTTGTGACCCGAAATTCGCCCCGTGGCATCTCAGCAATTCACACCAACGTATCAGCAGTTAAAAGAGCGCGGATGCCACGGGGCGAATTCCAGTATAATACCGAGAATCACCCGAGGCATCCGTGCAAGAGTGCGGTGCAAGAGCGGCATTGAAATGGTGGTACAGTTCCTAAGGACAATACGTTATCATTCCCTCACGTTGTTTCGGAGCGCAGGCAATCGGTGTCACCATAGAAAGCTGGGAGCCCCTGTGCCACCTCCTGTGTTGGGTGGACGTCAAATGGCTGTCAGTCAGTTAACTTTAATACCCCGACATCAGTAAAAGTTTTGTTCATCTGTAGGCGACACCCTCATGTAATAGACGGGGACGAGAGTATCATACGAGAGCGTCACCTGTAGGTGAACAAAAAATGTACTGACTGATGTTGGGCCAATAACGACCCTCCAGCCACATCTAGCAATACCCAAATCCCGCGCACCCCACTTTTATATGCTCCAGTATTCCAGGTCACACCTTCAGTGCATCATGCTCACTCGACAAGCAGGCGTCCACAGCACAACCAGCTGCAATGTCAGACGCGTGCAGAACACCTTGCGGCGCACAGCCGTACAGGTGTTCATACGCAGCTCCACGCACACCCGGGCAAAGAAGCTGGCTTTTGATATATGCGCATCAGCATCTGTGAAGGACGCCCTTGGGTTGTCCGTAACAGAATCGAAACTGATGGGTGCGCCCGCGCCTAAGCCACTGGTTGCCCAGGGAGTATCCGATTGCACTCGTTCCGGTCGTTGCATGGAAGGTGAGCAAACATATCCATGGGCGGAGTAGTTGCAGCTGGTTGAGAGTTGGTGATCCAATGGTTCACCATCCTCACTTGCAGTAAAGCAGAGACCTGCAACGCCATAAATACCAGGGGCCTTCACAGCTATGAAGTACAACCCGATACGCAGGACATGCCCGGTGAAACGTTTTGGGACATTATGATGCTGAGGAAAAGATGTTTAACATGTGCGCATGACAATACAATTATTCAAACAAATCCCCAAAGTCAACAAACAAGCCAAACGAGCAAACAAGTCCTTGGTCGGAGTAGATTGCAACTGGTTGAGAGAGGTGATCCAATGGCTCACCATCCACACTTGCAATGAAGCAGAGACCTTCAATATCAAAAATACCAAAAGCTTTCACAGCTATGAAGTTCAACCCGATAAGCAGGACATACCTCATGGAGCGGTGTTGACATATAATGTTGAGCCAAAGTTGTTAACATGTGCGCATAACAAAAGAATTATTCTTACCATTATTCATACCATTTAACCTACTTGAATTGTGTAAGAACGCGTATTCAGTGCCACTCGACTACCTTTTGGAGCGCCCCTCAATGTCGTGCAGTTGGTTCCGGAGGCGGCGCGGGAGCCTTGGCCATGCCATCCATACCTCTTCGTGTTTCGACAGTCTTCGTCACTTCATGTAGACTGTTCTTTCGCAGTTCTAATTATTAACAGACGCCTGCAAGAAACATGGCTGGGGTTACTGGTGCATATGGCTGCCGCGATCAGGGGCATGAGCGCCAGCCAAGTCAGGTAAGAAGCAGCTTTCCTTTTATAACATGTCAGGTGACCACGGCGCAACCTCGATGACTACCCGGGCTGGTGACTACCTAGTGCGCCAATGGATCACCCCACTGATAGTGCCCTTCTCGACGGCGATATGTATTGACTGGTATGCCCGACATGTTTCTGACTAATGCAGAAGAGGCAACGGCTTGAGGCGCTTGTGGAACTGGGCTTTAAGGCCGACCTGGCCAATTTGCTGGTGTACGGGCTGGAGCTCGACCCAAACGAGGCATCGGACGCAGCTATTGCGCATCAGCTTCTTGATAATGGGCTGAAGGACTTTACGACCGTGAAGGCAGTGACCGGCGGTAAGGTCGCGCCTATGCATCCACTTTATTGTAGCCGTGGTAGTGCCCTGCATGCCCATACATACACCCTTACACACATGTCATGTGCACATCCAAGAGCACACCACATGAACAAGTCGTGCTTCACATGTCTCGGGAACTTTTTACCCTACCCCAACTAGAACCAGTTTTCTGAGCCATGTTGCTGGCCAAGCTCCGATGTGGCAGACCACGAATTTTTCACGGGGCTTGGTGGCTGGATGCCGGTGGCCAGCGGAAGCAGCCAGCTTGCGAATATTAGGACACACCTCAGGAGCCAAGGTCATGCAAGTCGGATGCAGGCCCTGCGCCTCCTTACTCGCAGCGGTGCAGGCCATTTCAGCTGGCTGCCCAAGCTTGTTGCTAGTGTACGACTGTGCCCCTTCATCATCCTTCAGCCAGAGCGGCTTCGTGTCTTGGACAGTAAAGAGGCTGTTACCGTGTCGGCAGTTGCAGCTGCGATATTGGGCACCACTGATCATGATACTGCTGGGGCTGGCGTGGTGGGCAAGGTAACGGGCATGGTACAGCTCGAGGATGACCTGGGAATCGATGATTCAGAGCAGCCACAGTAGCAGGAGAACGGCGAGAATGAGCTGCTGGAGATGCAGGTGGTTGGTGACTACGACACCGATATCCACGGTGTCCCCCACGGGTGGGTGTGCTGCCCCAGATGTTTCAAGAAGCACCCGATTGCGGAGTGCTGCCTGTGTGACGAGAGTAAGCGCAAGGATAGCTGCCAAAAATGCATTACATCCGGTATTCGCAGGCAGCTTGTCATCCGCTGCCGTGAGCATGGCCACAGATACGAGTTCTCACTTAACATTTAACCTCAAACTAAGTATCAACCATGAGCCTTTTGTGTGTCAGCCGATTCTGTAGACATGCCATGAGAATGATGTGTATATCAGAATCCTTTCTTTGGCTGTGTGTGTGTGTGTGTGTGGGTTTGCAGAGCTTCATCAGGTGGGGCCGGTCAGAGCAGGCACAACCCGCTGGCTGCTGCAGAGCAACGTGTGGCCATGGCTGCAGCAGGTTTTTTTGCAGAAGCAAGCCTAGCTCTATTGGATATTGCCGAGGGTAGGCTGTACAGGCTCGGGGGGTATTCAAGTTTTGCGGATTATGTCAGATGCTCATCATCTGTGCTGGGTTTTGGCTTGCGTCAGGCCAGATGCCTCATTGCAGCTGCGCGTTTCATGCGGAACCTACCACCTGACATGGCCCAGCCCAGTTGTGAGCGGCAGGTGCGCCCATTGGCGGGATGCCATCCAGATTTGCAAATCAGGGCATGGGCTTTGGCGCTGAAACGAGCAGGTGGTGTGGGAAGCATGTGTGTCAGTGGTCGTTTAGTACAGGAATGTCTGAGGGAGGTCCAGGGATCCTTCACGGATGCTGTATTGGGTCCAGATCCCATTGCAGCCCCAGATCCAGCTGGGGGCCAAGAAAGTGCATCACCAGCACACGATGGTGGTTTGCGTGTATTCACTAGAAGTGAATCGTGTGAGTGGTACACGCCCGATTTCATTTTGGATCTTGTGCGCAAGCTGTTCACCCCAGGGGACATCGATCTGGACCCGTGTTCCTGTGCCGCTGCAAACACACGTGTCCGTGCAATTTCCTTTTATGGTGAGTGCATGGACGGGCTGGCAGAGATGAATGCGTGGAAGGGAAACGTGTTTCTTAACCCAGCATTTGGATTGAGGAATGGCCACAGCCTACAGGGGCTGTTTTTTGCAAGATGTGTGCGTGAGTATCAGGCAGGAAATGTGAAGCAAGCCGTGGTACTATTGAAGGCAGTATAAAGCTCGCAGGGAGGATGGACAGGAAATACTCAGATGGTTTCCTAGCCTGTGTGATGTGCTTAATATTAATGCAGAAGGTTCATTTGTCATACAACCCGTTGCCATGTTGTGTTGAAGCATACTCTATGCAGGTTTAAGTGGGCCAATGACTAGGAATTACTTGTTGTGTTCCAGGTGTCTGGTTTTAGGGCCTTCATAACCTGCGTACCTATGAAACCTACCTTCCGTTTTGACTTGGCAGCGTCAAGCATGCCCCCCATCCTGTCCCGTGAGCGGCATATAGGATAGGTAGAGGCGAAAAGGTGGGCATTATGTGGATTCATACCTAATTATGTTGGTTCCTGTATTCGGCTGGGAGAACAGTAGATAGATGACCTGACCCATGGTCCTATGTGTGCCCTAGTGCGCCCAACTCTCATTTACATGTAATTTCCTTTTCCTGGGTGTTACTTGCTCGTCTTGCTATTCCCTATGGTTTACCCATGTCTCCACCAAGAGCAACTTCCCTTCTGCCAATCTCTCACTTAAACGGAGGGGAGGGAACGACTTGGACCATTTCAGTTGTGCAGATCCGGTTTATACTCTCGAAACAGGATCTAGTCACATAGCTAGGTATGACATGGCATAACAACTTTCTAACCCAGTCGGAAAGGTACCTGGCGGGGCTGGGTTTTGCTCGTCCTCCTACACGCCAATCATTGCAGTGCACTATTCTTAATACAACACCAGTGTACTAATCCTAATCCTGGATATGGGGTACTTATCCATATCC